GTGAGTTTGGCATGGAAAGAGGGATCTGCAGTGCCTGGGCTGACACAGCTCCTGGGGTGAATAAGTTTCCTCTGGAATAGCTTGTTTCCCATCCAGGTGGCAATTTTATGAGCTTTTATTACAGTTTATTTATTTATTTTTGGGTTGGATTAGGTTTGAAATCATTACCGGCCCAAGTCTTGCATAGTGGCCAGAATGGCACCAATGTTAAAACAAGCAAGATTTTAATAATAATTTATTTTACAGAGACAAACCCTACTACATTTTACTGGGAAAGAAACTGTATATAATAGATATGTATTTATTTATATAATTATAGTATATATTATATTACATAATTATATATAATATATATTATTTTATATACTATGTTATATATTATATTACATATTATATATTATTATATAATCATTATTATATAATATATTATTATATACCATAATATATAATGTATAAATATATATAATTATATATGTAATACATGTAATTATATATTATATATTATATATAATGCAATATAATATATGATATATGTAATTATATATGTAATGTAATATAATTATATAAATAAATACATATATATAAAATATATATTTTATATATAATTATATATGGATATAATTCTAAGTCTCAGAGCAATGACAGTGATGGAAATGGCTCTGAAAGCGAGACCCTTAGGTCAGATTCCCTTTGGTCTCTCCCCCACTTTTCCCATTTCCATCCAAAGGATGGGTTAATTTGAATTTCATTGCTTTCCACCCGTGGGGAAATATCAGATGCTCGGCATTATCACAGCCCTGGTGCCCCAGAGGAGGGGGACAGGTGGCGTGTTTGGCCCTTCACTCCACATCCACCGCGAGCTCATTAATTTGTGGATTCGCGCATTTTCCTGGGAAGAGGCCTCCGGTCTCTGTCCCTAAAAAGCAGCTGGGATTGATCATCGGGGGCAGGAGGGGAAAATCCTCGGGAATTAGTCATGTGAGCATTGAAATGAACGCCGTTCCTACGGAGGAGTGTTGTTTTTCCCGGGAGGAATGTGGAAATCGATGGTTTTAACCTCCTTCCTGAGCACCTGCCACCATGTGTTCCGTGAGGGAAGCGGTGCCTCCAAACCGTTGGAGTTTCGGATTCTCTGAGGGAAACATGTTTTTGCTGGATGCTCTGTACCAGCCCAGCAGATGGGAGGGGGGAAAAAATCGGGTTACAGAAATCCCACTGTCACATTTGGGATCTTGGTCCCTGCCAGGACTCATTGGGTGCAGGCTCGGTGCTCCTGGGACATGGAGCCCTCAACCCCAACCTGCTCCTGTGTTTCCTAGCTTGGTTTTTTGGCATTAGTTGGATGTCTCTGAGGGCCTGGAGCTGCATATTGAGGAGGAATTCTGGGCTGTGAGGGTGGGGAGGCCCTGGCACAGGTTGCCCCGAGAAGCTGTGGCTGCCCCTGGATCCCCTGGAAGTGTCCAAGGCCAGGTTGGACAGGGCTTGGAGCAACCTGGGATAGGGGAAGGTGTCCCTGCCCATGGCAGGGGTTGGAACTGGTTGGTGTTTAAGGTCCCTTCCCACCCAAACCACTCTGGGATTCTGTGATTCCGTGAAGCTGGGATGGCTCCAGGCTGGGGTTCTCAGTTTCCCATCAGACAAATCCTGTGGGATGAAGCTCCAAGGAATAAAAGGAAAACACTGAGCTCCAGGGAGAGCTTGGAGCCCTTTCCAGAGCCTAAAGGGGCTCCAGGAGAGCTGGAGAGGGACTGGGGACAAGGGATGGAGGGACAGGACACAGGGAATGGCTTCCCACTGCCAGAGGGCAGGGAGAGATGGGAGATTGGGAAGGGATTCCTGGCTGGGAGGGTGGGGAGGGAGTGGAATGGAATTCCCAGGGAAGCTGTGGCTGCCCCTGGATCCCTGGAAGTGTCCAAGGCCAGGTTGGATGGGGCTTGGAGCAACCTGGGCTAGTGGAAGGTGTCCCTGTCCATGGCAGGGGATGGATTAGATACCTCTGAAGTCCCTTCCAACCCAAACCATTTCTATATTGTATATCTATATTATATTTCTATATTACATTCCTATATTATATTTCTATATGCCATTTCTATATTATATTACCATACTATATTTCTATATTATATTTCTATATGACATTGCAGCATTATATTCCCTGCAAGTGGGGCTTTACTGTAAATAAAGACCCAAAGCAGATCATTGGAAAATGTTTTGCATTTTGAGTGATGTGTGGAGTTTGGATATTCCAGGTGAATTCATGATTCCCATGTATTGTAATTGTATCTAACCCTGTCCAAACCTGCAACAACTTCACTGTTTTAAGTTGTATTTTTGACTCTTCCTAAACAGCTGGGCAGTAAAGAAGTGCAAATCTCCTTTAAATTTTTGCTTTGAATTATTTATGGTACCCAGAGTGAATATATTGAGCCAGAAGTGTTGATATCAAGTGATTTACTGCAATATCTCCGTGGAAGTAATACAGTGAGCAACTGGGAGCTTTAGTGCTGGAACTGGTGGTTTATTCTTAATGCAAAAATCAAATTAAATTCCCTTCAGGGCAGTAGTTCTGCCAGGGGAGACTTGGCCCTGTGGACAAGCATTATATATGTAAATTTAAAAATATACCTGAACATCACCTTCATTAAGAAATGATTAATTTCACCACTTATTCCACTTATAGTGAAATAATGAGGTTAATTTTTGAGAGCTTCGTTTTTGTTGGGTAATTTTTTTAATTGAGCAGTTGTTAATTTTTTTATTTTTTTTTTTTTCCCTGAGTGGACTCTCACAGGTTGGTGACAAAACCACCCAGAAAACCCTCAGACTTGTCCTGGTTAAATGGTGGCAAGTGTAGGAAGATCCATTTGACCCTTCGACAGGGACAAATGCCCCTTTGGTTTTCCTGGGGCAGAGGTGGATGGGGAACACTGAGAAAATCTTCTAATAATGCTCATTAATTTCCACGCTTTTATTTCCCCCCTGCAATGGTGATAATATTAAAAAATGTGCAATAATGCAAAGTACTAAACCAATTATCCTTGTATTTTCAGTGGTCCATGTAGAAGCAGTGCTGCCCCTCAGCATGAAATGGTTGGAATATTCACAGGGTGTGAATATTCCTGGAAAATCCTCGTGGCACAGGGACTACGTTGAACTCAGATTTCCAGTTTGGGGGAAAAAAGTGGTCCTTGATATTGTTCTAGGAGGTTGTGCCTGTGTTTTTATGTTAAAACACAGAGGATCAGAGGGAAGCTCTGACTCTCACTGTCAACATCTTTCGGGAACCGATAACGCTCAGCCTTTAAAGATGCCCCACAGTTTGTGTTGGAAGCTATTCCAAAATCCTGCTCCCATGAGAATGGCGTTTCCTCATGGTTGCTGCAGCCTTATTTCTTTCCTATTGCTCAGCTTAAATTGGTTTTTTCCCCCACATTTCAGTGTTTGGCTGTTTCATGTTATGTAGCCGTTGTACTTTTTGTGCTTTCTCGTCCTTCAAAGGCCAGAGAGCATCATCTGAACATCCCCTTCTTCTTCCAGGAGGGTCTGGCTGTTCCCTGCCCTCCTGCCAGCCCTGCTTGACATCCCTCTGAATTCCCAGAGGGAATTCCAGAGCATTCCAGCCTCACTTTTACCTCAAAGAGCAACGTTTCCCGGCTCGAAACGTCGCGTTTGATGTTTTCTGACCAGCCCTCCCTCTGCCGTGATGAAAAGCAGGGGAAGATCTTCCTGTACCCTAAATCAGTGGGTGTTTGAGATCATAGAATCATGGAATGGTTTGGGTTGGAAGGAATCTTAAAGCTCAGCCTGTCCCAACCCCCTGCCATGGGCAGGGACACCTCCCACTATCCCAGCTTGCTCCAAGCCAACTTGGCCTTGGACACTTCCAGGAATCCGGGGGCAGGGACAGCTTCTCTGGGAATTCCAGCCCAGCCCCTCACCACCCTCACAGGGAAGAATTCCTTCCCAATCTCCCATCTCTCCCTGCCCTCTGGCAGTGGGAGGCCATTCCCTGTGCCCTGTCCCTCCAGCCCTTGTCCAAAATCCCTTGTATATAGTTTCTCTCTCCATGTTTCCTGGAGGTCCCTTCGGGTCCTGGAAGGCCACAGTCAGGTCACCCCAGCACCTTCTCTTCCCCGGGCTGAACAATCCCAGCTCTCCCAGCCTTTATCCCAGCTCTCCCAGCCTTTGTTGGAATTCCATGGTCACAGTGACAGTGTCACACAAGTGCTTTTAGAGGGCTTAATTCCACCAGCATCAATTTGCTCCTTTCCTCTGCGGCTTGGTGGTGTCTTTGAGGCTTAAACCCCAAGCTCTCCGTCCTTGAAGGTTCAGTTTTTGAGCTGAGTTACCGATTCAGGAAGGCCCCCAGATGCCTGTTTGTTTTACAGCTGCCCTACAGACCTTCCCAGAAGGAATATCTTGGTGTCTTCCCCGCGTCTTTTCCAAACAAACCCTTTTGTACATCAAAACCTTGGCAAAAATAGGCCTCGTGAGCGTTTTCGAGCTGATCTCTCCGAAGAAAGAGGGTTTTGCTGGGTTGATAAGAATCAGGCAGATGTATCCCACTGGTGCCTCAAATTCCCAAGGGAGGGAAACAGGGTGTAACCAACCACTGAAGGCCAAGGAATAAAGGATCAGCGTTGAGCATCCACTGGGATTTTTCCCAGCGGCACCCACAGCACCTGGTCCTATATAGGTTAATCCCGTCAAAGAGACGAGTCTTTATGATTTGTAGGCTAGAAAATATTTCACAGTTATTCAGGGCACGGACAAAAGGACCAGAAATACAAATAAAAGGCCAAGACCTCACAGCAGTTGAGCCTTTTGTTTGAGGCAGGACCGGGCTCCGTCATGGTCCGGGGAGCCCCGGGACAAAGGAGCCCTGGCCGTGTTTGCTTTGGCTCCGGGCAGGGGGAGTTGGTTTAAATGAGTTTATAAATGGAGGAGTGAACCAGGACGGGTTGGAGAATCCTCTTTTTTTCCTCCTTTTTTCTCCCCAGGTGCCTCAGATGAGCCGCCCGGATTTGATCCTGTTCCTCATGAAGTATCTCATGGCCTTGGTGGTCGGGATTCCCTCCGTGTTCTGGGTTGGCAGCAAGAAGACCTGCTTTGAGTGGGCCAGTTTCTTCCACGGGCGCAGGAAAAAAGAGTGAGTGTGGGAATCTGTGGGATAAACTGGCAAATCACCTCTGCCCTCCTAGTCCTGGAAGAGTATTTCGGGTGTTTTTTTGGTGGAGGCGCGACAGGACACGAAAACAATCCACGTTTCCGCTTCGTGCATAAAGCAGATACTTATTTCTAAATAAAAAACAACTCATTGATTTTGAAGATTTACTTGTTCCTTTAATTTTGTGTATGTAGAGATAACAAATGTGTTATCTTCTAATATTTATACATTAGAGTTTTTTTTTTTTCTCCTTCCTCAAGTCACAGTGTGTTGTGATCAGGGTAGACTTTTGGTTCTTAAGAGTTTTTTGGTCTTCATCATTAAATAAAAATTTCTGTGGCAGACCACTCATGCATGAGAATGTAACTGCACCTGCCCATTATTTAAAACACATATTTATCTACATATATATTCATACATATATATGTAGATAACATGTATGCATATTTATATGTGTGTGTATATAACATATTTATACATATATATGTAAGTATATATACATATTTTATACATAACATATATATGCTATATGTGTTATATATGTTACATATGTTATATGTATTATATATATTATATATTATATATAAAATATTTATATATTATCTACATATACATGTATATGTTATATATATGTTATATATAACATATATATGTAGATAATATATACACATTTTTAATATATATAACATATAACATATATATACTTATATATATGTAAGTATATATTTTCAAGTACCACAAGGTACTTGAAAATACTTGAAAAAAGAGACAGTTTTGTTAGAAACTTCTCACTAACCAAAGGGGAGTGAGGAAGGACAAAACAGCTCAAAAAACCCCTGAAATTCCTTATTTTTCCCATAATTTGGTCCCAGAATCAAATCTACATCCCTCTGTCTTCCAAATATTTTTTAGCAAGAATTAGTTTTCAGGTGAACACCACAACTACTCTGCCACTCACAGAAAGAGGTGGAATTGAAAGGTTTTATTTATAAATGTGTTTTTCTAGTCAACTGAATCAGACCTTTAAATTGAAGTTAAACACAGGTGCTTTTCACCGTGGCTGCAGTTAAAAGAACCTGTCTCTGCTTTTAATTTCCATTATGCATTAGTGCTGAGGTGCAGTTTGATAAAGTGACAATTAGAACGTCTCGGAGCTTCTGTGAGGGTGAAATTAATTTAGACCAAGGTGTGGCATAAAATTTAGAGACAATCTGTGCGGTTTGGTAGCAGCTGTTTTCATAGCAAATATTGTGTTTTAAATAGATGTTTTAAAACAGACCCACGGAGACAGAAGCGTTTAAGTGAGTCCTCCGTGAGTTTTTGCCCGTCCTTGGCGGGATGGAGCCAGATTCCTTGATTTTCCTCTGAGCAGGAAGAGAGAGAGCCGGTACAAACCTCCCTCCTCGGGGAGCAAGAAAACGGGGAGGAGGAGCTGGCCAGGCACAGGAAAGGGAACATGAAAGAACAGCACAGAGAGAGTGGGAGGGGAGCAAAAGGCCTCCACAAGGAAGAGATTAAATCCCAAAAAGGATTGTCGGGGATGTGCTGCAGCTCCTTTCATCACGCCCCGGTGGAGCAGCCAAGTGTGTGAGTGCAACCCTGGGGCTGAGGCCGCAGGGCAGCGCTTGGGTATTATTTTATGTGTTGTGTTTCGCCAGGTGCCCTCCTCCTGAAGGTTCTAATCCAGGCTTTAGATGCTCTTTTGAGTGAGGAGGTGGCTTCCCGTGTTCCCCGAGAGGCAGTTCCCTGGGGAATCGGAGCCTGCCGGGTCGCAGCGCTATCCCAAGGATTTCTCCTGTAACAACATTCGCAAACGCTGTGATCATTCCCATGTCCAGGCTGGAGGGTCAGGCCCGGGGATTAGGAAGGATTCAAGAACACGGACTTTGCTAAAATACCCAGCTACAGAGATGCTTCAAAATGAGGCAATTAGGGACACAACAATGCAAACAGAGGCTCTGATTTGCCGAGCTGTGCCCGCTCGTTCTGTTTGCAAAGCGGTCCCACCGCCGCAATTAGCGTTAATTGTTCCAACTGCTTGTCTTGCTCAGAGTTGTAAACGAGAGTCGCCAAGTGCTGCAGGAGCCAGACTTCGCCCAGTCTCTCCTGAGGGATCCCAACACCCCCATCATCCGAAAGTCCAGGGGCACTTCCACGCAGGGCACCTCGACCCACGCCTCCTCCACCCAGCTGGCCATGCTGGACGACCAGAGGAGCAAGGCAGGGAGCGTCCACAGCAAAGTGAGCAGCTACCACGGCAGCCTGCACCGCTCGCGGGACGGACGGTACGTGTGTCCCAAAAAAACGTGGAGTCGTGGAACGGCCTGGGTGGGAAGGGACCTGATAGCTCGCCCAGTCCCAACCCCCTGCCATGGCTAACCTGGCCTTGGATACTTCGAGGGATGGGGCAGCTACAGCTGCTCTGGGAATTCCATCCCAGCCCCTCACCACCCTCACAGCGAAGAATTTCTTTCCAATATCCCATCCATCCCTGCTCTCTGGCAGTGGGAAGCCATTCCCTGTGTCCTGTCCCTCCAGCCCTTGTCCCAAGTCCCTCTCCAGCTCTTCTGGAGCCCCTTTAGGCTCTGGAAGGGGCTCTCAGGTCTCCCTGGATCCTTCTCTTCTCCAGGAGAACCCCCCCAGCTCTCCCAGCCTGGCTCCAGAGCCTGAGATTCTGGGAGTCCACAACCTCTCTCTGGGAAAATGGTGTAGAAGATTGGACAGGCCCCTGCCTGTGTGGCCACCATGGTGCTAAAACTGGATGTTCTTCTATTGCATCTCCTCTCCCTGTTAGTGTCTGGATTGGAGAGAGGGAAAATATGATGGTATTTTCAGAGTCCCTGCAGGTCTCCACGAGTTACACAGCACGGCCATGTCCAGTGCCGGTTTTCCTGCACATGGAAAAACAGACCTGTCCCGACATCAGCTCAGTAATTTTGTGGCTGCTTTTGTCTGTGTGCAAATCGATTTTGTGTCTCTAAATAGCCCTGGCCCTGCTGAAGCAAAGGGGAGCACGAGTTGCCCGCTCTGACTTGAGGTGCGGTTAAGGTTTATAACGCGATTTACCATCGAGTGTTTTACTCCCCTAATTACCGATACGCTGGAGTAAGAACCGAGTAAGAACCGTTGTGAAAGGAGCTGAAACGCTTTGCCTGGGGCTGTGTGAGCCGAATGACTGAGCTAAGCAGGGGAAGGACTTTTCCTCCCAAGAGCGGAGGGTTGGTGAGATCTATTTGCGTTGTGCCCTGAGCGAGGCGGTAACGACGGCGATAATTGTCCCGTGTTTTCCCTGACTCAGGTACACTCCCTGCAGCTACAGAGGCGTGGAGGAACGACTACCTCACGGCAGCATGTCCCGACTGACCGACCACTCCAGGCACAGCAGCTCCCACCGGCTGAACGAGCAGTCACGGCACAGCAGCATCAGGGACCTCAGCAGCAACCCGCTGACACACATCACGCACGGCACCAGCATGAACCGCGTCATCGAGGAGGATGGCACCAGTGCCTGAGCCGGGAGGAGCGCTCCAGGAGCGTGGAGTGGTAGCACAGCTCGTGGTCCCTTCCTCAGTATTATCATCCTCTCGTCAGGTGCTGAATTTGGGCTGAATCAGGAAGCCAAAAGCAGCGTCGCTGTCGCAGCCGGCGCTCTCGTGGAGCTCCAGTGCTCAGCTGTCCCGAATTCCTGAGTAAAAAGCCGGTTGTCTCTTTTGAACCTCTCTGTAGGTGATTATTTATTCCATGGCTGGTCCTCATCAGACACCACTGCTGAAATTCTTTGTGGAAAACGGTCTCCCTTTTCCTCCCTCTCTCCCTCCACGTGTCGGGAGGTTCTGCCCCGAAAACTCGCTGCCGGGGGTCGCGCTGAGGGTTTTTCTGGTGAGACTTGGGAACTCCTGGTTGCTGAAGGAATTCCTCAGCACACCTCTTTGACACAGTTCCTGCTTGTCTCCATCGTGTACATCAGGAGGAGACACATCAAATGCTGCCCGAGGGACACCCGTGTGAGCCGGGATGGTCACACTGGAAACACAACGGAGAAGGAAACCCCACTGAGGATCCCCAGCTCTTCCCAGAGCTGCTCAGGCTCAGCCGCTGGGATGGAGTGGGAGGGTGGGGGGAAGAGACACAGGCAGGAAAGAGCGGTTTTTTTATGACTTGTAACTGTCCTTGCTTTTTTACAAAAAGACTTATTTAAATTTTCTACTCGTTTACAGTTTCTGTAGGAAGAGAACGGCTTTTCAAACCAGTTATCGAGATGATATTCAGCCACTTATTTTTTAGAGTCCTGTACAGAAGCTGAGATTGCCTGTTCCTGATCTATTTAAAAAAAAAAAAAAAATTATAATAGGAAAGCTGAATTTTTCCCCCAGCCAGGAACGTAGAGCCCGTTCCCTACAACCAGAGCAAGGCCTGTTTCCGAGCCCCAGCTCCTGGGTGAGGAAAGGCTGAGGCCAAAAGGACCGGAGGAGTTTATTCAGGGATGATCCGCCTGCCTTGCGATGTCACGGCTGGTTTGGGGGGGGGATTCTCTGTGCTGAGCAAGAATTTAGAAAATGAGTGGGAGAAATCCAGGCAGGAGCTGCCCACAGACAGGGAAAGAGCAGGATGTGGCAGCCGGAATTGCTGTCTTGAGGAGGAGGAGATGGGATCCATTGTAAATTTTTGGCTCCTTCCCAGCCGGGGATTTTGCATTATGGATCAACCTCTGGCTGTAGGGTGTTTTCTTCTCACTCGGATTCACAGTGGAGAATTCTCAGTTTGGGCTTTTTTAATGTGGAAACACTCTGTTGGGATGCACTGGAGGCAGAAGTGGAGGCACGTCGTGGATCTTCCGGAGCATCCGCTGTTGGGATTCATTCAGCGTGAGGAGACACTGATCCCATGTAAACCTACCTCAGTAATTACTACAGACCATTGCTGGGAGATGAATCCTTATTTTTGCATTGTCCTTACTACGTAATTCCCTTTCCGAGGCACGGCTGGAGAAGCCTTTGGAGACAGTTTGTGTGGCACAGCCTCGAGGGCAGGGACTGGGCAGCAGCTCCCGGGGCTGCTCCACAATTACTCCTGTTAATTGTCGCTGATGACACAACAGCAAAGCCGGGGGATCAAGGGCTGCCTCGGGAAGCACCGAGTCTTAGATATCCATTTATCCTAAATTGAGATCCATTTATCCTAAATTGAGATACATTTATCCTAAATTGTCCTTCTTGCTTCTTGCTCCAAAGGAGAGGCACAGAGGGAACCCGGTGTGGAATCACAGTCCAGGGAGGGAATTCTGCACCCGCTCCCCCCCGGGGCAGAGCAGACTCTGCTGTGCCTGTTTGCTCAGCAAACAGCCCCGGGGGCCATTCCCAGGGATAACGGGCTGTCCACAGGGATAACTGCCCAGATCCCTACAGCGCCTCTTCCAAAGCAGAAAGGGTGTGGAAAATCCCGAAACCAGCAAAACTACAACTCCCTGGAAGCCCCAGAGGTGGAACCTTTGTTATTTTCAGGTTCAGCTCCTACTAAATAACCTGCTGCTTCAAAGGGATGATCCATTCAGGAATCTGGATCTGCAGAAGGAGCCAGGAAGCTGAGTTTTCTAAGCACTGGACCTGGACTAAATAAGCTCAAGTGTTTACATTGATCTTCTTGGCTCAATTTCCAGTACCTTTATATATATATATATATATATATATATATATATATATATTTTAGCAATGCTTTGACTTGTTTAGAGTCAGGGAGGGGAACAGTGATGGAGGTTTGAAACAAATCCTGCTGAAAATGTTAATTTGGGAGGTTCAGTCCCCCTATTGCCTCCAGATGGGAATATCTCGGCTGTTCCTTGCTCATGGATCCTGTCACCCCAGAGAGGTGATTAAACCTAAAATTAGAGTTCTGGTTGGAGTTTTTGCTTCCCTGCTCCCTCTCTTTTGGCTTCAACACCTGAGCTCTGGGCAGAGCATTCCTCCTGGGATTTTGAAGCCCATCCCTGATGTCAGATTGTCCCAGCCCTGGTGCAGTTCCACAGCCAGGGCACTTCAGCTCTCAAATCATCCTGCCCAGGGGCTCTGACTCATATCCCAGTTGGAATGTGGCCCAGCCACCACCTCTGGCAGGGGCACCAGGCACGTTTTTGGGGTGCTTTCCTAACTTTGGCACATCCTGCTCACCAGGAAGAGCTCCAGCCTGGGCACCGGATTTCTGGGATTGGTGCCAAGCTTTAAATTCCCCTGGAGCTTAAACCTCTGCTTTAATAAGCCCCTGCCCAGGAGGACAGTTGTGCAGTCACTGGAACACTCCGGGTGCTTTGGGCTTTGGCTGCCTGGATGTTCCTGCGGCTGAACACACGTTCCTCGTGGGGGTCCAGCACTGCTTTGTCCCTTCCCAGCAGAAACAGGACACCAAAACCTGGACCTTTTCTCCTGGAAAACAGGCAGAGAAGCTGCCCAGCTTCTCCAGCTCATCCCAACAGCAGGTTAATGTATCCCCCTCCTACACACACGAGATGACCTGAGCCCCAAAACTCCGCTCTGCAAGATGGCGACAGCAAAGCTTCCCACAAAACGCACGGCTTCTCATTCCCAGTATTCCCAAGGAGCTGCATCTCCTGGCTTGTGAACCCCATTGCCGCTGACAACAGATTCCCCAGAGCCTGTGATGTTCCTTCTTTCCTAACCCCTTCGTAGCTCTTGTTGTTCACTGCAATATCCCAAATCGGAGCTGCGGCCGCGTTGCATGGAAAAGGAGCAGCCGCCCTTCCCTTGGATTTCTGCCACTCATCCTTTTTTAGAGCACAAACAGCCCAACAGCAGCAAAAAGCCACGTTCAGGTGTAAATGTGTTTGTCTGCTCTTGATGCCTTCCCTTTTCCTAGACCCAAATTTTGCTCTGGAAGTGTTGGATACCGGCTGTACTGGGGGTTGGGGGTGAGCATGGGGCAAAAATCCAGCTGCAGCAAAATCCAGCACTGCTCCCAGTTTGTTCCAGCAAGGAGGGGAGGGAAAACCCCTCATAAAGGGCTTGAGGAGAAGAGCCAGGAGAGCTGGGTTAATGCCCACCCTTCCAAGGGAAGTGACTCCACAGCCCAGTTCCAGGGGGACGAGGATCCCAAAACAGCAGTGGGGAGTGGGCAACCCCCCTGTGCCATGAAACAGGGGCACAGAGCAGAGTAACCCTGCATGGGAGACATCCCGAGGTCCACCTCGAACAGCAGAATGTCCAGTTGAATGTGAAATTTCCCTCCTCTCCCCGTGTGCTCCTTTCCTACCCGGATCGGGGTTTATTTCCACCCGAGGCGGGGTGTTTTCCGCAGTTCCTGCCTGTCAAGGGCAGCCGTGGGGGCCGTGCATGGGGGCACTCGGTGCATGTAATGCTTTGCCTGGGCACTCTTGTGTCCCTGCTGTACCATCATCCACCTGGATGGGAGGGGAAGGAGCTCCCGTGTCCGTGAGTCCTGCACGGAGCTGGAACACGGGGGGCCAGTCCTGACCCGACCTGCGCTCGGCTCTGGGTAGGCTCGTTTACAGTAGTCCAGTGTCGGTTTTGTAAAGTTTAATTTTCTTAGCACTTTAACTGTGAGTGTACAAACTGTAGTAGGTGTACATTTTCGTTTTAGACCTTTGGAAGTTTTTAATAAAACGTTTGAAACGCCCCGGTCTCTCTCTGTCGACAGGTTTTCGACCCCTCTCCGTGACCACCCCCCCTTTAAAATCCCGGTTCAGCGGCAGCTGAGTTGAAAGATTAAATAATTGAGGATCAGATTTGACTCTGGCCAGCAGTGCCCTGAATCTGAAGAAAGCCTTTCTAGGCTTAATCTTCCCCCAGTATCTGTACTCGTGGACGCCGGGCACCCTTCCAGCAAACACAAGATTTTGGGCTCTGGTTTGTTCCACCCTTTTATGAGAACAGACCACTCCAACCGCCGGCATTCCGTGAGCAGAGACAAGCAAAGGGCAAACAGGTTTGGGAGCAGCGATTCCAGGGGTGTTTGGGTGGTTTTTTTTAATTGCCAAATCAAACCTGAGAACTGGCTGATGAGTGATTTACTTTAAGTATCTGTCTGGCGTTTGGGCGGGGACGTGGTGGTTTCATGTGCTGAGCCTGGCAGGGCTGGTGATAAAATACCTCACTAATCACGGCTGGGGCTGGTTTAGCACTGGGGGCTGGTTTGGGCCTCGTTAAGATCAGGGATCTTAATAGTTCAGGGATGAAACTTTAGGAGATGAACAGCTTGGAGATGAAACTTCAGCTTTTAAAGCCTGAAGTCCTGCCAGGGCCACGTGGAGGCGTGAAATCAGCTCCTCCTCAGCAGAGCAGCTCCATCTGGAAACATCAGCCTTTCCTGGGAATGCAGCACCCAAAGAGTCCTTGGAGCAGTGGTAGGAAAAGCCCTTTTAGGGAAAACCAAGGTGGGGCTGTGGGTGCTGGGGACTCATGGAGCTGCTGGGGACACTTGGCCTGCTGTAGGGACCTGCACCTTGGTAGGGAGGGCAGGAGGGACAATATCCCTTCTCCTCCTTCTCTCCTGGATTTAAACCCTGGCTGTTGTGGGTTATGAGCAGCTGACTCCAAAGCTGAGCAGCCAAAGATATGATCCAGCTCGGCCTCTTGGAGCACCAAGGAGGATTCTTCCTGC